GGGGCGCGGGAGGGGCGAATACTATATGATACCTCATTTTTGAAAGTGTTACCTGATGAAAATTGTGAAATATGTCGGCAGATAGGCTTGCAGAAGGTACCACATATAACGGCGCTCGAACACGAATGTCACGACCAGCTCGTCCCACATTCCGGCTGGATAGCTCTGTTTAATAAACTGGTAATAACTTCCTTGCTAAGTAATGTAAAGTGAACGAGTTACCCGTCTAATTACTGCCGGAGTTAATGTTTTTGAGCCAGAAATCGCTGATATTTATCGGTTTCAACACGAACACTGGATGCCTACGTTTATTCCAGCGCATTTGCACCTCTTCGTTGTTGTAGGAGAAACTAAACACAAGCTGTCAACGATGTTGTGAGCGAGGAATTGAAGGGATGGTCTTGAACTCAGCTGCAGCCCACGCTGATCGTTTGGGCGGAGAAAGCTGCCATTTTGCTTATTCACTGGAGCCTGAATTCTCTGGCCTGCTTTCTTCTTTTTAGATTCCGTATTTGGATGCGTGGGAAGTGTTGAAAAATGAGAGAGAAAATACCGGGAGACCCGTCGGTGAACGGAAAACACGAGAGGGGAGCGCCAAAAACGCTTCTATTCCTCCGACAAATTCCTCCGACATCACGAAATAAAAAAACCAGCTAACCGGACGAACTCAGCTTGTCCAGCCAGCTGATTCTTTTATAATGAACTGTAGGATCCACAAGCCTCCACTTGCTTAACCGTAAAATAGTTTTTTGCTGGGATTTTTTAGCTGGAGTCCCTGCTTGGAAAGAGGCTCCACTAGAAAGGCACAGCACCTCAAAACCTTCACCTCGCAATTTTCCGCCGCGAAACAGGTACAAATTTGTCCAGTGCTCACCACAACCTTTTATATAGAATATTTTTCGTTGCCATCGCGAACCGTGTCTATGAAGGAATAAGGAGGGAGTGATCCAATTATCAAGTTGTGGTAGGCCCGACTCCACCCATACAATCAGCATGGGCTGCGCCCTTAACTTCAGAGCCTGCCGCTCTTAACGTCAGCTTCGAGGGAGAGGAGAATCAGCCTGATTTTGGTCGCTATGTTGACAGTGCCTCAATTTGATTCTGTCGATATCTTCACTGACCGCACCTTTGATAATTGAGTCGGCACGATTGCGTGTCCATAGGAAAGTCGACTAAATCCATAGAGCAGGGTCCCTTGACTCGCACACGCTAAAAAAATTCCAGTAATCTATTGGTCGTCAGGTTTATAGAGGTAGACCTTAGTAATACACTCCTTATCCCTGAGCCAGAGTAGGCGTGGCATTTGAACATGGCACGGAACTGGTTACTCGTGGAATATTTCCAATCTGGGACAACTGTCATCTTGTTCTGTGTTGGACAAAGACACGACAACAGTTTTGTCGAGATGGAAATATTCCAACAGAAGCATAGACACCTTCAGGTTAAGTTGAAGAATGCGGCCCCGCTACCTGATCTCAGGGATCTCGAGTGTATTACTGTTGTTTGGTAGGCACGTCCAGCAGCATTCCCAAAGAAACCGTTTATTTACTGAGATGTATCTTCGTTGAGTTACATCCATACTCATAAAGTCGGAAAACTGCTTACGCAGAAGTGCGTAGTGAACTGTTTTTGTGAATGAACTCCAACAAGGAATCTCTTGAGGAAATCAGATCATGTGTTGGTATTCCAGGACCTTCGTATGTGGTATCCCAGGGCGCGCCCTGTAATGGTCCTGAAAGTGAGGGGGGCGTCGCAAAGTTTTGAGCAGTGCGTGGGGGGGGAGGTGACAGTTATTACGGCAATATGTCGTATTTATTACAACCGGTGAGGCCTTCCCCTTTGTCTCAATCGACCCCTACTCGGTATAAAGTTCGGCAGTGTTCAACTATTACTTCCCCTATTTTCCAAAAACGGGCCGTATCCATGATGCGCTTTCTTCATAGGGGGGCAGATTTGGCTGAAATTCGGGTTTCAGGGTAACTCCACCTTCTGAACACGAATATCACATCCGCTCCGCCCGAAACTGCATGGCGCTCGCGCCACAGGCGTCGGCGCCAAGGTACTCCAGGGGGGAGTCATCAAATCTGCTGAAAAAACTTGTTACCCAGGGAGTAGTCGAGTTCATGAACGACGAAGCATCAATCCGCTGCGCGCCTGGGGAACGCCCATGCCCGCGCCGCAGGCGCCGGCTCGAATAGCCCTAAATCACTGGTGCCTTAGGGCGGCGCGGCAGGGCACATTTAGGCCAAGGTGAATGTTAGTATTGTGTCGCAGGAGTGCCAATTACCCGCTACAAGCCAAAATTCAGCAATCTACCCCGTAGAAGAAGCTCGGATAAGGAGCGGGTGAGACAACGGATCCAGCCTGTTTTCGCAAAACTGGGGTAGTAATAGTTGAATAGCGCCTGAAATTCTGCTGCCATCCAGAATCATAGCGCCTTCTGAATGAGCTATAGCCTCGAAACTTCTTAATGGCTTGAGATGGCCACTCGTACTCAATGTATTTACCTTCTCAGACAACTCTTATCCCTTTTCCATATGCCCGCACAAGCTCTACAATGTTTCTGAACAGTTCCCCGAATGTACATAGTTCATTTTCTATCCAGGAAGTATGAGACAACACCTACGTGATTCCCCTACATCACGTGGCCAAGTGCATATAAGGGATCGATACCGGTAGAAAAAGCGTGGAATATGAATGACATAAAACCCACGCATACGTGACGGAGAAAATATCCATAATTATTATGGCAACGTCAAAGAACGCTTGCCACCCTAAGCTGATGTCACAGGCACGCAACGATGAGTTTCAATAAACGAACGTTTTTTTAGTACTGCACTTTGTTACTGTAGAAATAAGGACATGGAAATTATCACGTATTCCACGACCGCCACCGTATAGGCGACCATCAACCATCTTTATAAACTTTCTGCCACTCTTCTGCTTTGTTTGCGGTTCCTTGGGAGACTTGATGTTATTTAAGAGTGCTCTTTGGAATGATGCCAAAGTACAAGGAAGACCCTGCGGTGGCAAGTGGCCCCTGGACACTCACACTTTGGGCAGTGGCCCAAACGTGACTGTATTTCGGAAACTCAACAGATTCCCTGCTCAGAATCTTAGGAATCTATGAGATTACCTGGACCTATAGGGTCGATACATGGATTATGAACCGTGTGAGGATGTCCTCCAAACAGCTAGTTTTATTCAGAATCGGGGCTAAAGTTTCTATGAATGTACATGAGAGATATTTGGCCCTGGAAGTTACACAGCTTGGGACTGAAGCAAGAGTTGCAAGCCTCCTTAGGTTCCACGGAGGCAGCGGATGGCTTTATATTTCGCCTTGAATGAAAGCAATGGCAGGACGGAGGGCTTCTTCCTGCACAAGGCACGAATCAGAAAACTTCTTAAGGTCTTTAACCTTGTAATTTTTGAAAGTTTTCACAGCCCTGTTTGCTGCGGATGATGGGGCGTGTCAATTGCCTGAACCTCTGCGCCGAACTCCCGTCTTGACACAACCCATCATCTGCAGCGAACAATACTGTATAGCGTTCACTAAAAACAAGTGTCAAACGTTGTCAAAGTGCTTTCATGAAAAAGGACAAAGTTCGAATACAGTGGATACACAGCTTGGTTGCCATCGAAATTAAAATGGAACTATTGAGTGGTGCAACAGTGAGAGGAAAAGTGAAAAGAAAGGCTAAAACTCAGCGGAATTGGGCCCCTTGGTGATGCAACAGTGAGGGGAAAATTCAAAAGAAATGGGTAAAGTTTGCGTCTGGGCTCACTGGACCTACATGGAGGACATGCCTACAAATAAGACAGCCTTCATAGGTGGCCGGTGTGACTTCAACTAAAACGGAGCGGCTCCGGGTCGATTAAAGGCAAGCTCGCGATTATTCACTGTCGGATAGTGGATTAGGAACTTGCATATAGACGACAGAGTGCTGAGCAACTGGTTAGTAAGGGAAAAAAGCAGAAAAAAAAAACATTTCAACTGTCCTAGATAGAACCTCATTTCGATCTCATCTCGTTACGTGCCCAGTTAAATCCATCTCCAAACCACGCCCCCATCCGCACTGCTGATGCTCCGAATAGAACTCTCCGACCGCACAAGTGACGATTTTCATGCTTTTTTCTGGAGCTTCGTAATTTGACTAAAAGGCAGGCTTTGAAGGCGGAGTCTGGAGGCGGAGTCACTGGAAAAAAGGAGGCGTCACTGAACCTATATTGCTCTATAACGCCCCTCCCTGATAACTTTTTGCAGCACTAACGGTATAAGGTTTTTCGTCGCGGACCACACTACCCTCCCTACATTTCCAACTTCTGTACCTGATCGCGGACCGTGCCTTGATGCTGTAGCAGGGGAATGTCTCAACAAGAAAAATGACGAATGTACTCCACTCCTAATTGCAGAATCGCAAAAACACTTGAACCGCCTAAGCGACGCTATCGCTTGACTCGCGCCATTGTTATGAACTGTGAAAGCCACCCCAAAACAGAGATCGTTTGGACGAGTTTCCGGATGCCCCCCATCCACTCACGATAGTTGGTACTCCTAGGGATTTCTGGCTAAAGCCTGCTAAACATATTATTCTGTACTGCTAGAGTATAGAATTCTTGAAGAACTGTTTGTCCGTTGAACCTACATAATTCACCCAAACCGTTCCGTTTTCGAACGTCAGACACGTTGGAAAATGGCGAATCGTGGATTTCAGCAGTTTTCGAATTCACAAAGCAAGTATTTGGAGTCCAAACCCTAAAAAATGTATAACTGTTTGTTTATAGATGACGAAACGTGCAGCTTCCGACGTTAATAAGTTTCTAACCTAATCAGAGTAGCATGGTCCAAAGAAATGTTTGCCTTGCAGGCATTCAGATGATCAAATTTGAGTTTTGGATCAGTCCACATTTCATTGATGTACATCTCCATCTCGAAATCGTTCGTGATCTCTGAGATCGCTGTGATCTCTTGGATCCAGAATTCCACCTTCACCGTCACGCCTCGTTTTGTCTGCAAAGCCACATAAAAGAAATTACAGTGATACAAAATGTTTCATACTTCCAGAGAAGCTTAGAAGCTTCGACAAGCCAAAGACAGCACGCACGCAGCGGTAAAGAACAACTAGAAGTCATAGGGCGTAGATAGCGCCATATATCAGTGCCACGGTTACCCGTGTAGCTGACCGTGCGGCAACGTCGGAGGAATACGCGGGCGGCTCTCGGGTATCAACGCCCTCTGGTACCGTTCCCATGCTTTTTTGACTAGAGAATATGGCACCTCTACTCCGGACCCATTTACCCGGGTATGTATGTGACAAGAGAATCGTAATTCGCCGCGCTGGTGGGCGTCGCGTGCGACGTCGCGCCCGCAAATGACGATGGTTCCAGGTAGTAGATGGCGACAACAGGCAATTCAGAACCGAAAATAGTCATGAATGTCTACGATGACGGGGTCTACATGAAGTCCGGTGCTCCAATCGACAGGTTAACACGAGTTAAGAAAACGCCGCGCCCATCGCCGCGCGCGGTGGAGCGGCAAGTTACGATTCTCTTGCTCCGTCTCCCCATTTACGGCTAATGCCGTTTGGACTCCAGAAATTTCGTCTTCGAGCTCATTTTCAAATTGCCTAAGTCACCAAATCCACTAAAAACTTGTATATAGGGGTAATTCAACATCCTGATTACGAGTATGACACTCATTCTTGGCGCTGGCGCCAAGAGAGGACACTACGATTACCTCCTGGGCTCAGCCTTAGCAGAGCGCAGGTAACCGTAGTGTCATCCATTAGCGCCAGCGCCAAAAATGAATGTCATATTCGTGATCAGGATGTTGAATTACCCCTATATACAAGTTTTTAGCGGATTTGGTGATCTTGCCACTTTTAAAATGAGCTCGAAGACGAAATTTCTGGAGTCCAAACGGCATTAGCCCCCATCACGGAAGGACTGCGGTCGGTCCAGAAATGTGTTTGTACAGCATATCTTTGAGTTGAGCCTCCAATTTTTCTGCTATGAGTTACCTCAGAAGGACTCCTCCATAGAGGAAGACTTCCGCCAAATTCATAAATCAGTACCAAAGAGCGATAGGGAAACTCACAAGGCAGATTGTGCTTGTTGTAAGCAGCCGGCCGCAGTAGGTAGTTGACGATTCTCATATCGGACAAGCAGTCAGCCGAATCATACGAAGTCCCCAAGATTTCTGGCCCGTGAATCATTTCGATGATGCTCTTAGAATGTCCATCGATCTTATAGGTGTCACCGGTTGGAGGGCGATACACAGTATCACAATCACAAGTCGGCTTGGAACCCTCTGTTAAGCTAATCAATATGCAGAAATACACAGAAAAAAGGCGACAACCAGCCATTGGTAGATGAGTAATAGATATGAGAATAATTATGGCCAGTGCCCATGTTCAGCCACTTTAATGCCCATCAAAGACCAATCACTTGAAAT